GACTACAATAGTCCTAAATGCAAAGTATAACAAAAATAGTAGTAAGCATGTCTCTGACTAGTAAGACTATAGTTTTCTTATCTCCTTTCCAATATTTAAACATTAAAAAAAAATAACTATGGGGGGGGAGGGGAGGAACTATAGATGACTTTTATATTCATATACAAAATCCATTTTTTAATTATCTCCAAGACTCATAATAACATGGGGAATGTTAATTAATTGGGGAAAAAGCAAGATCTGAATCATGTTTCTGACTACAATGATGGAAAAATACAGCAAAGTGTCAGGGTGTCTGCTTTTGGGTGGCGGGAAGGTGTTTAAGTTTCCTTCTGCTTTCTTTACTTGTCATTTTCTACAGCGTGAAGAGATAACGGGGGGAATGAACTTCACTTTTAAACATTTCTTATTTTATCAATTAGACTGCATCACGGCTTTCTGCTGCAATAATGAACAGCAAAGCCAATGGCATGCAAGAGTTCTTTCTCAACCTGCGTTTTATGGTTTACAACAGATTCAGCCAGCCCATACTGCATTCCTGAGAGATTGTCCTTGCTCACACAGAATCTGCCAGAACCTTTCCGTGCATCTTCACTTTGTTCAGAATCACATTCTCTCTAAAAGCTTCAGCGGGAGCGCCCTTAAAGGCCCACACGCACATACTGCCAGGTGCTCTTGGCCACTGACCCCTTGAGATCGGTTGTTGCAAAAACTGTAGCAGCAATAACCAGATGGACATCAACCACGGACCAGGCACCGTGACACACGATGAAAAAGTGCACCTACTGCGCACAGCTCCTTACACCGCCTCTTCTGAAGTCCAAGAAACTAAAGCTCAGACAGAGTAAGGAACTCGGTCAAGTCACGGAATTTGTAAATGCCAAAGCTGATACTCAAACTCGGCTTAGACTAATTCTGAAATCTAAGCTTCCCCCTGCGATGTGAAGGAGGAAACGGCTTCAGATCCAGGTCTGCCATTTGCCCTTGAACAAATACTTGATTCCAGAGCTGTAAATTAGGGACTGGGCCAGATGACCGCCAATCTCCCTTCCTGCTCGAATGTTCTGTTTCCAGAGCTCCCCTGTTCCTTACAGCACTCAGAAAGCCCTTGGGTGTGCACACTTCAGCACCTGCTTGTTCCGTTGTGTTCTGTCTTGTGCCTCCTCTGTGTGCTGGCAATCCCCAGGGGGCAATTTTCTCTGCAGCCGGTACCACCTCCCTGTGCCAGGAGAATATGCTGCTTTTGGCTCTGTAACTGGGGATTTCTAACAAAATTACTCTGGCACCATGACTATTAGCTCTCTGCTGAAGGAGCATTTTAGATGACAATGTGATCCTCACTTTCAGGGTTCTACATGAGCACTGATATATTCAGGGTTGTCTCAGCATACACTAGCGGGCCAAAGAGCGGTCGTGTCCGGAGATTCTCCAAATACCAAGGTAGCAAACGTAAGTGAGCCTGCAGAACTGGCTTTAAACGGAAATGTATCCACTGGACCAACCCTGGTCCCGACTGAAACCCAAATCACAGGAGGCTCAGCCCACCACTCCCCGCAGCTCCAGCTGAGCAGCGCAGGATCACCCAGTTAGGAAAACAAAGGTACTGCTTTTAAAACAGTCTAGTCCCAGCTGCACAGCCAACTTTTGGACAAATTTTTAAAATTATCCAACAAAAGTTGTGCCCTTACTTTCAAGTTCTCCTTTTGTGTTTCCTGTTAGCCGTTAACAGAATCACCGCGCAATCTCTGGGACGAGGCACTACTTTGAGGAATCTGCCAGCGCTCCCAAACACGGTTACATCACACCAGGTTCTCAGATCTGGCTGATTAGATGTATTGTCAGAGCAAAGGAACTGATCCTTATCCTAACGTATAAAATTATCCTCTGGCATACATGTTATCGGGCATGCCAGCAATCAGCTACCTGGTAATGAGTGCTCAGGAGCCGGGGGTACGGGGGGCTCACCTTGGACCGACACTAGCCGCTGGCTGGGTTTGGGTGCCGAAGGAGACCGAAGTCCCTCGGAGTCCACACAGTTGCCAACAGTGCTAAGTAGAGAACCAACCTGAGATTAAATTACATTTCAGGGGAAAACCAAACCTGAAAAACAATTTCTGGCCTTAAGTCTCAGGGGTAGCAAGTGAATTAGGCCCTTGAATTTAAAGAGCACACAAACCAAATAACAGATCCTGGTCTCTGAGGAGGCAAAGTGAATTACTGAGAAAATAGGGAAGATTGGAGAAAGTCCATCAACACCAATAAAAAAGAAATCTTTTTTTTTAATACCCATCAGCCAATCAGGAGTATGTATGCAAATTAACACAAAAGTTGTGGGTTAATCTGCATATGCAGGCGCAGAGTGAAGACTGAAGGCTGAAGAGGCCTGGTGTCTTTGCTGTGGCCAGGTGGAAAGGCCACGCCTCAAGGGCCTGAGTCCCGGGTGCCGGAGGAAAACCGTGCCGCAGCCAGGGGAAGGCAGGCCGGTGGCACCAATCTCCGGGCAACGGGCCTCTGGTTGGGTCATAAAAGCCTAGCCAGCTATGGAATCTGTAAGGGGCAGAGTGGGTGAATCAGGACTTCCATTTAATCTGTAACGGGTTAAGTATTCAGGGAAGATGGTATCAAGACAGAAAGGCAAACATTAGCAAGCTGAAAGCACATTAGGTTGTATTCATTTTTTTTGCACAGCCCCAAAGGGGAAGATGGTTTCCTGCCTGATTTATAAGATGCTAATATAAATCACAGCCCAAGCCTCCTCTGCATGGCATGATCCATGTATTCAAATTCTCTGGTCCTGAGGCCTCAAGCGAGCCCTGGGCCAAGCATCAGCTCGGCAAATCTGATGAAATCTGATGAAAAATGGCAGGCGCTCAGGCCCCGGGGCTCGCTTTGCTTTGAAGGAGGATCAGAGAGCAGGTTCCAGGCAAAGGCCGTGGCACTGAGCCTCACTCGGTGCGAGGCAGCAGGCGGATGTGGCTCAGGAAGGAACACTCAGGACAAGTCCCAGCACCAGGCTTAGCTGAGCAAGAATAACTTGTGCTCGCACTGTCCCCACACGCACAGTCACCTGGGAGTGGTCTCAGGATATTTCTCACAGCTTTCTGTTAAATCTGAGTTAGAAAGCTGACATTAAGGTCTTATAAGATAAACTGACACTTGTCAAGAAAACCGTTTCTCACCACCTGGCTGGCATCGGGCCCTCTCACCCAGGCTAATCAGGATCCTCACTACTGGGACCATAAAACCCACCCAGAGAAATAGGCCTGGAGAGCAGGAAGTGAATAACGGGTCCCCTACAGTTCTGATTCTGTGATGGAGATAACTGAAAATGCGTTAAGTCATTGTAAAGCCTTAGAATACTTCTCCGAATACAAATTTGTATGGAAAATCTGACTTTGCACACATAACATTATCAGCATAACTGGAAGACAGTATATCCAAATATTACAGTGCTTATAATATCAAGGGGGAAGCAGTGGTTTTCCTTTCTCATACTTTGTAACACTTGGAATAAACAGAAATGTGCATACGTGGTTTGCATAAACAAAAACCTGCCGGTGCTTGTTCCTTTCAAAGGTCATTTATAAAACGCAGAATGTGATACAAAAGGGGAAAGGACTTGCTGCTCCCCCTTCCTTCCCAGACTCAGGAAATGCCCTCCTCACGCGCAGAGTTACCCACACGGGACCCAGCTGTCGCCTGCGGCTCCATCTCTTCCTCACTCCCCACACCCACTCGGTTACCAGGCCTGCCTTCCGACCTTTGCAATCCTCCCACTGCCACCCGCACCGCTGCCCTTGGCACCAGCGGTAAGATGGCCTCACCACAAACGTATTCAGGGCTGTCCCTTCCTCTCTGAAATCAATAAAAACTTATATTTTTTAAAGGCCCATCAGAAACATGGGGAATTTTCACAACTGGAGGCTGACAGTGGTTTAAAGAGCTGGCCCCCCTGGTTCTGACCTTCAGCTTCCTCACTCTCCCCTTCCAGGTCTCAGGGAAGGGAGAAGTTTGTCGACCATAATCTAATGCCAACTCTGTGCTCTGCGGCATTCTGTTTAGATCCTATTCCCCAAGCTCCTTTCCTATGTCAACTAAAAGGTAAAGGTGGGGATGCTTTCAGGGAAGGTGAAAGAAAAGTTCTTAAAGAAACAAACAAGCCAAAACCGGTGTTGCTCAGTGGATAGAGCGTCGGCCTGTGGACTTACAGGTCCCAGGTTCGATTCCGGTCGAGGGCATGTACGTTGGTTGTGGGCACAAGCCCAGTGGGGGGTGTGCAAGAGGCAGCTGGTCGATGATTCTCTCATCGATGTTTCTAACTCTCTATCCCTCTCTCTTCCTCTCTGTAAAATATCAATATAAAATATATTTAAAAACAAACGATAGGATGCAAACTGCATGCCATCATTGCTCATGTCAATACTAAGTTTCTTTTATATATTTTTTGTTTCATTTTATTTTTAAAAAATGTATTTCTTTATTGATTTCACAGAGGAAGGAAAAGTGAGAGAGAAAAACATCAATGATGAGAGAGAATTACTGACTGGCTGCCTCCTGCATGCCCCCACTGGGGGTCAAGCCCAAAACCCAGGCATGTGTCCTTGGCCAGAATTGAACCCAGAACCCTTTAGTCTGGAGGCTGATGATCTATCCACTGAGCCAAACCAGCTAGGGCTATCGCTTACTTTAAAAAGAAACTAACTACAGTGAGGTGACTAGAAGAGCACTGGGCTTTTATTCAGAATTTGACCTTGATCACTAATAGCTGAGAGTGAGATTATGAATTACCTGAAAACAAAGAAGAAATTTGCCTATTTCCATGCGATATGGAGTGGTTTCCCATAAAAGGGGACGCGTTGTTTTAACGGCTCCGGGAAGCACAGTGAACGTGGCGTGTAACTTACACAGCCCATGCAGACCCGAAGTCCCTCAGTGCATCCCGTGTAGAAATAAAGCACCGCTCCCTCCTGTTTATATCTCAGCGCCTCCGTACTACTCACCGGAATGTAGTAGATGCCCATCTTGGGGGTTTCGTTGGCGGTCAGCAGCATTCCTAAAAATAAACACAGAGAAGGTAAACCCGTGGGAAAAGGAAAGTATCCTCTTCCACTTGTTTTCCAATTTGCAGCGTCGGAGGCGCTCAGAGCAGGTGCACACGGCACCTGGGAGTGGGCGGGGGCTGCTGCGGCCTCCTCCAGGGGCTCCCCCGGCAGGGAGACCTGTCCTGCTGCGGAAGGACCTTCCCACAGAGCGGCAGGCCCACGCAGTGTGCCTTCGTTCTTAAGGGGGCAGTGTATGCTCCAGGCACACCGACAGCAGGAGTGTCAATGTGCTCTGTGACCCATAAAAATGCGGAAGCTAAGAAGAGAGGTTTCTTTCTGTCCATCAGGAACCGCAGGACCAAGGTACAGCATCCCCACAAAGTGTCCCACAAAGCAGCTCCTAATGTTTGCCTTCAAGGTCACACCAATTAACACAAACCACCTAAGGGGAATGCTACGTGCAACTACACCTGAGAAGACCAGGACAGAAATCTAACAGCTCCTACCGTACAAAAATCACTCTCTCTCGGGGGAGTTTTTTAACAGATTAACCAGCGGAGTAGTTAACGAGTTAGTCCCTTGGGCCAGCATTTTAAGAAAGCCAAGTTACAGCAGGGACAACCTCCTGGCACCCAATCCAGGTTTCCTGTAAGCCAGAGCAGCCTGCGGAGCCCCCTCGGTAAGGAGCCAGCGAGCCAGGCCTCAGCTGCGCCCTCTGCTCTGGGCCACATCGGCCACGGATGCTCCCAGTCCCCGAAGCTGCCCTCACTCGCAGCCCTCACACCAGGCAGTTAACAAGCCGGGTCAGCAGCCGTCGGAGTCCCTGAGGATCTCAGAGAGCCGCCTGGGAGGTGAGCACCGCCATCGCCCTCTTCCACAGATGAACAAACAAAGCTCAGAACTGCCACTGTCACAAGCTAGGGAACTTAGAGCTCAAGTGCAAAGTCAAGAGCACTGTTTTTTAAACACTTTTAAAATCAGCCAAATTATACTTGTTTTAAAAATCCGTTCGTAAAATACAATAGAGGAATCCACAGAGTGAAGATGTTTGGATTATCACACCAATAATCAAAACTAAATATGCCAAATGGTAAGGACAATGCTTTGATTCTACATTTGGAAAAAAGTACTTTTGCTGCTCTTTTGTTCATACAGGATGACAGGATGAGATGTTGACAGAGCCGAGGGGACCTCAGCTGAAGCCCATCTGGGGGGACACGACTCCAAAGGGGGAGCTGGCCCTAAACTGGGACCCACCTCCCCAACCAATACACCCACCATGCAAACATCCAAAGCAGGCAGCGAGGTCAGGAAGAGCAGGGATGGGTGTCTAATTTAAAGCAAATAAAAAATCAGAGACATTCTCAGAACTTGTACTCATGTGGGCGCAGCATCTGGCCCAGGAGACGGAAGCTCCGTGACGCGCGATGCTACCCACATCTCAACGGCAGCGAGGCCAGGCCTCCAGACCCCGAGACGTGAGCAAAGACGACGTTCTGGGGACTGCAAAGCCATGCGCAACCTAGGGAAGGCTCTTGCCAAAGCAATGCCCGCCGCCTGGCTGCACTGGCAACCCGGACACTGAATATCCAGCAGTGCCGCTCCACCAGGGAACAGCCACAGTCCCGACAACCCCGGAAAGGCGCCATGCCCGCCAGAGCATCAGCGCAGCCATGTTCCCGCCCGGAGCGGGCTCTCACTGGGCCACACGTGGACGGAGACCAGCGACCTCCGACCCGGGTCAGGCCTGAAACCAGCTGTAAGTGAGGAGGCGACCTCCGACCCGGGTCAGGCCTGAAACCAGCTGTAAGTGAGGAGGCGGCCCGCCGGCCGGGGAGGCGGTGCGGCAGACGTGCAGGCGGCGAGACAGAGAGTGAACCCGGGCCAGGGCTTTACATCCCACTGCTTAGCCCTGCTGAGTGGGAACACGTGATGTCCCTGGGTAGGGCCTGAACGCCCCCTCCCTCTGCACGGGAGCACACTGATGGAATAAGGGCGACTTCACACTGCACAGCAGAGCCGTCCCCCCGCCCTGAAGGCAGGTGAGCTGCACAACCATGAAGCCTGAGGGTCTTCCCGAGCGGAAGTCTGTCCTCTCGGCCTGTGGTCTGGAGCCAGCGGTTCTGACAGCACAGGCTGGGGGGCCCTGCCCGCCCTGAGCTCAGCAAGCACGGAGTGAAGCTGATGCGCCCAAGGCCAAAGGCAGCGCCGCCTCCGGGCGCCCTGACCCAGAGCCGCTGAATGAGCAACAGAGAGGAGTGCAGGAGGAGCAGGAGGGCGGGACCATTTCTCAATACTCGGAGCGGCCTCCGTATGCGAAAACCATTCCACAGCCGTCATCATGATTCGGCTGTAATTACTCCAAAGTGAGTAAGAGAGAAGATAAAGAAAGGGAAACGTTTCGGCTTTCTAACATGATTCAGCTCATAATGATGAGGCACAAACAGAGCGGCGTGGGGGAGGCGTGCTGCAGCAAGGGCGAGGCAGGGAGCGTGTAGGCAGCCGAGGGCCAGCCCAGGGAGGAGGGGTGCTTGTCCTGCGGTGCTTGCTGTCACATGGAATAAACTATCTGGCTAGTTTTGTGTTTGATTAGCCTCTATCAGCTATTTGACTGTAAGTCATGGTCTCTGTCCAAAAACATCCCTTAAAATGTGTGCCTTTCAGAAAAGTGGCCGCTTGCCACGAAGAGACTGGTGGTCACTCAAAGCGAGCACCGTGCGCAGCCGGAGTGGCTCAGTGGCTGAGTGCTGAGCCAGGCACTAAGAAGCCGCTGGCACATGCCCGCACTGTGGGCTCGATACCCTGTGGGGGCAGCGCAGGAGGCAGCCGATGGGAGCTTCTCTGTCCACCGCCTCCGGCCTTCCAACTGCATTCCTCCTCGGGCCACCGCACGGGACACAGCGCCTCCCCTCCCCAAATCAGCCCGCACAGGTTGCAGCCTCGCTGCACTGCCCCATCCTAGCGTGGCCTCCCCCGTCCCCTCGCCTCTTGCTCTTCTTGCACTGTCCCTCGCCTGGACCATCTCGCCCCAACGCCAACCAAACCTCACCATCACTCCACCCTCAGCACCAACAAAAACCTACGGCCACCTCTAGCTGCTGCGGCGAGCCCCTGCCAGCAGGTCAGAGTGCTGTCTATACACGATGGAACTGTCCTCCTCCGCCTGCGTCTCTATCAGAATTACCCGTCAGTCCTCAGATACTATTCTCACTTTCTCTCAGACCCCCCAGTCTTCATAGATCTGCCCTGAAGGTATTGTTAGATCCTAAAATCTGCCGTAATTTGCATACAACAAGCCAACACCCGTGGTTTCACAGCCTGGGCATTACCAGGCAACCTTGGACCTCTCCCAGCCCGACCTGGATTCCCACGCACGCACGATCACTCATCACACTGGGAGCTGGAACCGCATTTCACTGCCACCTGCCTACGCTCTGTCACCGGCTCCTACTGACAGCCAGGCTGGCCGAGGACTGAGTCACTGAGAGGGCCACTTTCTGAGTCACCCACATCCCTTCCTGCTCTTGGCTCTTCAAGTCCATACAATAGCCAAGAGCGGTCCTGACAGAGCTAAACACTGTCTTGAGAAACACACTGAGTTTAAAACCAAATGAAGCATAGCTTGGATTTGCCTCGCTGAGTGGGCCGCGGCTACGCACGCATACCTGAGTTGGGATAGAGGCAGACATCATTGATGTCATGTTCTGGCTCCAAGGAAGTAAATATCTTTCCCTGAAAGAGAAGCAAACAGGAATCGATAATGAGCTAAAGGAAGACAGCCTTTGGCAATCTCCCGTGTGGAGAGGTAACTCAAGCACACTCTGATATGTGAAGAAATACGATCGTCTAACTAGAATCATAGAATTTAAGTTTTAAAAATACCTTAGAGGATTCATTTGATCAATTTATCAAATATTTTTCATTTTAGAGACAAAGAAACTGAGGCCCAGGAGGAAGAGGAGACTTATGCAAGAAAATACAGTTTAAAGATACTGTCTACACAAAAGAAAAGGGTAAAGTTTAAATAAAGTTGTACATCAACTTAAAAAAATTCTCTTAGCCGAAACTGGTTTGGCTCAATGGATAGGGCGTCGGCTTGGGGACTGAAGGGTCCCGGGTTCGATTCTGGTCAAGGGCATGTATCGATACCTTGGTTGTGGGCATATCCCCAGTAGGGGGTGTGCAAGTGGCAGCTGATCGATGACTCTCATCGATGTTTCTAACTATCTCTCTCCCTTTCTCTCTGCACAAAATCAATAAAATATATTAAAAAACACACACACACAAAAAAAAATTCTCTTAACCTGGGACACACCCCCTGGTTAAACCTGTTCCTCAGGGAAACCAAAGATGAGGTGGTCAGCATGGTAAACTGAGGACATCCCCTCCCGTACCTAAACCACAGGCTTTGGGGAGACTGAATGAGATAATGAACACAAAATGACTGGCAAAACCAAATCCTGTAAATACATAAAGTGATGGTTATTATATAGTTAAGCCTAAAACATTTTTTGTTTTAAATGAGAGGGGAAATGTGCTTTTTAAAAATTTAGAGAATGGCCCTAGCCAGTTTGGCTCAATGGATAGAGCATCAACCTACAGACTGAAGGGTCCCAGGTTGGATTCCGGTCAAGGCACATGCCTGGGTTGTGGGCTCAATCCCGTGTGGGGCGTGCACAGGAGGCAGCTGATCAATGATTCTCTCTCATCACTGATGTTTCTTCTCTCCCTCTCCCTGCTTCTCTGAAATCAATAAAAATATATTTTTTAAGAAAGTAAGAGAAGACAGAAGATAAGATGGGTATGGGAAAAGGTGATAAGAAAGATAAACAAGGAAAGCCAGTCAAGCAAAACCAAGACATCTGGGTGCTGATCAAGAGGGTGCACTTAGTCATAACAACAACGCCAAAATAAAGCTCACTGTGGCAACTACAGCCATGACTCCGAGAGCCGATGCAAGCCCGCCAGCTGCGGCTCTTAGCTCACCGGCAGAGGCTTCCCCGAAAAGGGCGGGCGGGGACGGGGTAAAGCATGGGGAAGGCGGGTATTGTGTGTTCAGCGAAAAACAGCAGCCAACTTCTAATTCAAGACAACAAGATTCACACAGCTACCTCCCTTTCTTCTCCAATTCTCACTGCAGCAGGAAGGAGAGGGAGGAGAAGGGAGGGGAAAGAGACTGTAACAGCGTGGGCCAAAATGACTCCGCATTAGGAGACACCTGCGGCAGTTCGGAGCCTGGGAGGATCCATCCAAACTGGCGTCACGCGTTACCTTGAACCAGCAGGGAAGCCAGATCAAGGGCAACTTCTACTTCCCCAATATTTTATGAATCAAAAAAAAATAAAACGTCCCCATTTGTGGTGTTAAGAACAAGTATTGTTTAAGTGCATGAGTTTGGATTACAGAAAAAGCGCAGAGAAAACCCGCCCACAGCACCACGCCACCTCCCACGAAAACCCTCCCACCCACAGCCAATGCAAGAGCTGAGTGGGTTCCGGTGGCCAAGACCAAGGCCAGCTGAAAGCCTTCCTCTCCCCTAGCCAGCCGAGGCACCGGAGCCAACAAGCTCCTGGTGGGAGGGACACGGGGGACAGAACCCCCAAAGGTAACTATCTCTACCACAGGTCCAGGGGGAACAGGACGTAAGCTCAGGAAAGGCCAATGCTTGGGGACAAATAGAAAGTGAGCAGGAAACCAATGGCCGAGCGCCAGGGACTGTGACCAGGCGCCGAGCCGCGATGGGGCTGCCGGCACCGCTGCCCCGAGCACGGGCCGCCCCTCGGGAAAGGCTGGTGCTCGCCCTGTAGACACCACGTGAGGCCGCTGGACCTTCCAGCCGCTTCCTCTCAAGAACTAGTTAAAAGAAAATAAAAATAAAAAGTGACACTTTCGGACTACAGATGTTAAGTTTGTTATTAATTAAATGCAAAGAACTCTGAGTGAATGTTTTCCTATTTAGTTGATGAACCTTTTACTTCTCAAAATATTTAGGTTGTGAAATGAAAAGCCGAGGCAGATTAAAGCCAGTGATAAAGGATTTTGTTACTTATTAATTAATCCTTGGAGCTTGAGGTACAGAACATCAAATATTCTTAAGAAAATAATATTTCAATAAAAATTTCAACAAAAACATACGTACTGAGTTCTTATTCCACATTTTGATAATTCGAGAGTCTGCAGACAAAATCAAATCTAAAGAATTCTGGAAATGGACCGACTTGATGGGCAGCCCATACTGATGATCCTTAACTAGCAGTGGCTTATCTGAGCGAAGATCATACAATAAGACCTAAAAGAAAAAAAATAAGTTATTTCTGTTTAAACAAATTAAATGTTTTACCTTAAAAGCAACTTTTAAGTTACAAAGGTGGTGGCTGCCATTTGTCCTGCCATGTGCCTTTTTATGAGCAAAACGGACACCTCACTCCGGGCACAAAGGCCCCAGGCAGCCAGGAAAGCGCTCTGAGAAATCTCCTCCGTTACCCTCAGAGTGCGTGGCTGTGTGCGTTCAGCCTGAGTGCAGATTGAGAGCTACTGAGCTACACTAAGAGAGGAACAAAAAGGAAGCCTACAAGAATCTGTGTCATTTGGGAATTCAACAAATACATATACTGAGGGCCTACTATGTACCAGGCACCGTCACAGCGAGTGACAGAAGCAAGCGTGACAGACATAAAAACATCCTGGGAGATTCTGGACAGATGGTGATGGCAAGGCTATGACCGGGGGAAGGGGGTGGCAGGGGGTTGTCTCTCTGAGCCCTGCCATAGAGGCAAGAAACCAGACAGCTCAATCTCCATCCCAGGTGACAGTTCCTCTCCAGACCATGAGGGCAGAGGCAATGGAAGCAGGGTCTCAGGCCTGTTCTGAGGGGAGAACAAACTAACAAATGTATGGGTTCTGCCAGGGCGGGGGGAGGGAGGGATTGAAAGCCCTGCAGCCACCCACTTGTGCTGAGCTGTGCCCTGATCACCGTGCAGGGGACCTGGTAGATAGTGCTAGGGAAGAGCCAGATGCCTGGGTCAAACATATAGTGGGAAGATCTATTCAACTCATTTCTTGTCTACAGGAATTCTCAGAGCCTTCAATAGATATTGAAATGCACTATGAATCTCCAAGAGTGGGAATCTGGCAGATTCCAAACTGTTTTGACCACAGAATTGTCCCAGGACACTCTGGGAAAATAGTTCTGAACCACAGTCAAGAGAACACAGGTGCCTGTAGTTGTGCTCAGGAGCCTCTCAGCCCACCCACTGAGGTGCTAAGAGAATACTGGCCAAACGTACAGGGTGGGACACAGGAGGTCTACATCACCCGTCTGGAAAGAACGCAATAACTAGCCAATGATAATGAAAGAATAAACTGTTACCTGCCCTGTGGATGTTCCCACTGCCATGGTCAAGGCACCATTAAACTTCAGGGCAGAGATGGTCGGTAAGCTGTTCACCCTGAAAGGCAAAGCATTCCTGTTCCACGTGGACATAGCCAACCTCTTCCAGGAAACACACTGATTCTCAAGCTTTCCTTCAACAATAAGGGAAATCACTCTCTCCCTCCTTTTTAGAAGGCAATCACATCCAAGCTTTCCTAATCAAAACAAAAATGTCTACATATAAATGTAACCAACCTTCAGAAATCTGTAGGTTATCTTCAGAAATTGTAAGAATATTCTCAAAGTAGCTACAAACAACAATGAAAACGTCTGAAAATATAAAACCAGTTAAAGACTCAGTCTGACAACATCTCTCACCCTCATTAAGCCAGGATGAGGTAGTTACAGAAGCACCCCTTTTGCTTAAGAGCAAGCCTTCTTTAGTCAGGCAGGGATATACCATTCCCCTATTCAGAGTTGGCTGTGTCAAGGTGAAATAAGACGAGGGAGCTCACAGGGCTCTGGAACCTGTAAAAGCATCACGGAGTGAGGAATGGCTCTGGCCATGAACCTGATCATGCTTCCCTCAGCAGCCACGAGCTTCAGCACCAAAGCCACGCTCTGGTGGAAAGGTGCTAGCCGACGGTCAGAAGCCAACTCCAGTCCTCCTCTGAGGATCCTCCTCTGACGCCTCAGGCCCTGCAGTGCAGGCGGGGAGGGCCAGCATCCTTGTCTCTTCCGCCACCTAGAGCCTCAGCCCAGAACTACAACGAGCCTCAGTTTGCACTTGCCTCCTTAGCCTGGGAAGCACATCTTTTTGGCAGGGTGACTCCTGGGTCTGGCACTAGCCCCTGCCTTGTAAAGTACTTCAGAGAGAAATTCCATCTGGCTTACCCACTCAGAGCTTTCACAGGAAGCTTTTTACCTAATCACAAAATACAACCTCAGACAAAGTCTAAAGAGGTTCATCCTTTAGTAACCGACCTTAATTCAGTGCTGACACATCAGACGCGGACAAGTATTAAACTCCAAGTTCACGGCTACTTACTCTGAATCGGCTGTGACACTGCTTAGCGCACAGTCCAGCAGGCCCACTCTGCTCCGAACCCGCGGGTCCCAGCACTCCACTCGGCCCTAAACAAACAGAAACCAGCAGCTTCAAATAGCGGCTGCTACTGGAAAATGCTTAAATGAATGCCAAAAGAAGCCTTAATGACAAAAAACAAACATACACAAAGATCAAAACATTGTTTACAATATTAACCACTTTATAAACAAGACCTCGAAAATACGTGGCAATTTGATATACGATGCTTATCAAATCCCAAGCCCCAACAATCACGGGATCTCAGGAAGCCAGGCTTTGGGCTGGGGGGCTGCTCCCCGTCACCAGGTCTCAGGGCTGGGCTGGCGGGAAGGATGCCTCCCTGGTTCTCCCAGGACCTTTAGGGTGAGGATCATCATCTCCACTTCGCCCGAGGGAACAGCCCCGGGAAAGTAACTGAGGAAACTAACAGGCAGCAGAGAGCGGGCTCCTGACACAGCGCCTCCTGTGAGAACAAGAACGGCGGCCACAGTGCCCCAGAGGCTGGGACCCAGCAGTGACGCCCCACCCAGCTCCAGGTCAGGGTCAGAGTTCGCCCCGTCAGCTGCAGAGCGGGCCGGTGCACAGCAGCTGTAGCAGCTTTCCACACAAAAAGCAAAGCAATGGCTTGTGGCTTCATTAGCACCGGCTCCTAGGAGCCCAGCAACTCTGTCTTTAAATATGATTACATTCATCATTAAACATAAAACAAATACTTTTAAACAATCAATCAGTTACGCTCACCTCCACTGTTCCTGTGGCAAACAGGCCGTGCACTGAGTTTATGTCACAAACGTTGTTCTCCCTAAACATAAAGCAATAGGGAGAGCATATTAGTGCCCCCCGGGGGAGGGACCCCCAGTACACTTCCACCAGCAGTCAGCCAAGTGCGATGGAGAGAGAGGACACGTAATGCTCACTGATCTACTTGTGAAAACACCAGGCATGCCGGGTAAGTCCCCGGAGCACAGCAACCGCCAGTGTCCGATCCCGCGGGTGACACTATCTTCCAGGGATGAGACAGCAAAGAACTTCCTCCTGAAACACCAGGCCACGGCCACGAGAATAAACGCGTGTTCCACTTTCTCAATATATTTTCTCCCCTGGCTGTGGCTGTGCCAACCCTGAGGTCTGACTAGGTTAAGCTGGTTTACTGCTCTAGGCCTCATTTTCCTTGTCTGTAGACTGAAGATGTCACCTACTCATTTAGTTGTTGTGATGATTAAATGGAAAAACTAAGAAATGTTCAACAGAGCGTCTAGGGTGTACAAGACACTCAAAAATAACTGCTGTTATTACAAATAGAAAACTGCAGCTAAAGAGCAGATAACTTATTATTCAACAATGCATCATAGTTACTATCACATTTTAAATAAAATAAGAGCATTTCAAGTCAATGTGGAAAGAAATAGTGAGAATGTACTTGGTTTTATCACTACATGTTCTTCCAACTTTAAAGACCATTTGAGAGCAATAAGGAAAACCCAACAAGCTCTGTATACACACAGATGAGGAGTAAGCCAGCTTCCATCCCTCACTAGCTGTATGTTCAAACTTTTACCCTCCCTGAGCCTCAGCTGCCCTATCTGTAAAATGTAGCCAATAAGAGCACCTACCATAAAAATGTGTTTGTATAATGAGTTGATATATATATAAAACACTGAATAATGCCTGGCACAGAAAGCCCTTTTACGATTGTTGTTGCTGTTATCACTCAACATTATTATTACGATGATGATGGTTATTGTTCAGGTTCCTTCCTAAAAGGACTTCTCTCTAAATAAAACAAAAATTTAGACAACAACGTATAAAAAGAAAATGGGGGAAAAAAACACCTTAACTTTCTGCTAGCAACAACATAAAAGAAGATAATTTTTAAATGTTATTCCAACTTAACTCACAATTTCTCCACAAGAAGATGTATCACAAAACAAAATCATGAAGGGAAAGTTAAAGAACACTACTAAAAATAATAAAACTGAATTGTAGCGAGTTTTAAAACTTTCAAGTCTATTTTTTTTAATTAAAAATTTCAAGAAGTCACCAGATCTTCTAGCAAATTTTTTGTTTAAGAAAAAACTTAGCCAAAATCGATTTGGCTCAGTGGTGGAGCGTCGGTCTGCGGACTGAGGGGTCCCAGGTTCGATTCCAGTCAAGGGCATGTACCTGAGTTGCGGGCACATTCCCGGTAGGGGGTGTGCAAGAGGCAGCTGGTCAATGTTTCTCATCGACGTTTCTAGCTCTCTATATGTCTCCCTTCCTAAATCAATAAAATATATACTTAAAAAAAATATCTAAATATATTTTTTTAAAGAAAAAACTTAATGTTACTTTTTTTTTTAAATATATTATATTTTATTGATTTTTTACAGAGAGGAAGGGAAAGAGATAGAGAGCTAGACACGTCGATGAGAGAGAAACATCAACCAGCTGCCTCTTGCACACCCCCTTCTGGGAATGTGCCCGCAACCAATGTACATGCCCTTGACTGGAATCGAACCCGGGACCTTTCAGTCTGCAGACCGAGGCTCTACCACTGAGCCAAACCGGCTTTGGCCTTAATGTTACTTTTTAATTAAGTTGCCCTGAGTATTGCCTGATAACAATTTGAGCATCTGGCTCCATCTCCTGGCCCAAATAAATACTGCAGGTTTCTTAAAGCAAAATACTCACGCAGCGTCAGTTTGGAGAGGATTTAGGTACCGTCCTTGTTCTAAGTTTAACCTGTAAACTTCAGAGCTGCAAAATAATAAAGTTAAAAATGTGGTAAACTAAAAAACAACAAAAAATATGGCAAACTACTGTAAACTTTCCTTCAAATAAATAACATTTTTAGAAATATATATAAAGGGGTAAGCAAAAATAGGTTTACATTACAGTTGTGGGTTCATGAAAATTTATTCTTGCATTATTTATTAATTATTACATTCTTTTCCATATAAACATCTGTAAACCTGCTTTTGCCACTCGTGTGTGTGTGTGTGTGTGTGTGTGTGTATCTCTCATAAGGCATAGCTTCCTTTTATAAAATACAAAAGTGTGCTTACTCTAAACCTAAAAAAGAATTTGTTCAAGCATGAAGTGATTTAAACTACCATGTGCCAAGGAAATATTGAAGTCATTAGGTAGACTATTACTTACAATAACATGGAGAATACAAGATCCAAAATGTACCTATATCTATAATAATAAAAAAAAGCGTAATGCACTAATTAGATCAGACATCTTTCTGGATGACCTTCCGGACGAAGCCAGGGCTGCGAGGGAAGCCCGGGTCCCAGGTGCCGGCAGCTGGGGGAAGGAGGGCCTACTCTTGCACCAATTGCGTGCATCGAGCCTCTACTGTGTATATATGAAAAGACTTGAAGGAAATACAATAAAAGATCAATAAGGGTTTCCTGAATGAGTGATTTTTTTAAATTCTTTTTTATATTTTCCAATTTTCTACAATGGATATGTATTATTTTTATAACCGTAAAGAAGGTAACATTTAAGACTAAAAAGCTTTTAAATGCCAAGCAATGGTGCTGAGAAAGGGACTTCCCCACTCATATGCCCTGTTGGGTTGCCCATGTCTCTAGCGTTAGAGCACATGCCAGGGAGAGTTAGGGATGTAGTTCCTGAAAGGGTAACTCACTATGTGAGCAAGAAAGGCGGCCGCATGGCTCTTTCTTCTTTTAATGCTCCCCCATGCTGGAACAGCAATTGTCTGGGGAAATGAGGGGGAAGGAGAACACAAAGGTGTCGGGCCCATTACCTGGCGCCAACGAAGTACAAGTCGCAGGAAGGATAGTGGTAGGAGAAGTCCCGCCCGAACTTGGGGATTCTGGTTTTGTAGTAGAAGCCGGACTGCGAGTGGAACTCAATGTACCTGTCGTTATGTAAGAAGACAATCTGAAATGAAACAAGAAAACGGTTCGCTTAGGTTTCCAGGGACGTGTTTATGTCATCACCATTAAAACTGGCTACGCTGGAAAGCCTCTGGCCTCCCTCCCCCTCCTTTCTCCTGTGAACACACAGTATATACGCACAACGCTCCAGCATGACTGAAGTGTGAAGAATCAAACCTCTCCAGTGGGTACTTAACGCCTTCTGATCTCAGACAGTTTTTCTGCAAACCTCGCCTTCTAACTGAAAGGCTTAAAACAAATAGCCCCTCCCCCCAAAAAATAAATAAACAAAAAACAAATGGCCCCCCTTATCTGGCACCACCACGTTATAACACAAGCACTGCTCACTAACTTTAATGAGTAATTTCCCATTTTAATAATCTCACAATTATCATACAGGGTTCAATAAACTTGTAAAAACTCAACTTCAATGTATTACTAAGGCATCTTTAAAATCTCCGGGTCCTGCCGAAGCCGGTTTGGCTCAGCGGTAGAGCGTCGGCCTGCGGACTGAAAGGTCGCAGGTTCGATTCCGGTCAAGGGCATGTACCTTGGTTGCGGGCACATCCCCCAGTAGGGGGAGTGCAGGAGGCAGCTGGTCGATGTTTCTCTCTCATCGACGTTTCTAGCTATCTCTCTCCCTTCCTCTCTGTAAAAATATCAATAAAATATATATATTTTTTTAAATCTCCAGGTGGTATGTAAAAGCAAATTTATCCCTATCTAGACCAAATGCAGTATAAAATGACATGTCCCAAACACATGGCAAATGGCCACCGCAGGCAAACGGACAAACTATGCTCCATAGTTTCCAGAACTGAACACAATATTTACAGCCATGTCAGCACAGGAAATTCAATTTCCCTCACGGTGACATCTGACATCATTTAGAATTTTTCATTGAAATTGAATAAGTCAAAGAAAGAAAAGAAAAAAATGTATAGAATTGGCTGGGTTTTTTTTTTTTTTTTACCTGTTTTGGGATATGCAGTGATCTTTTATTTGCAAGGTTAATAAAATTAAACATACAGCACAGCTATTTTATTTACACAGATGAATATGAAAGCAACCTGACAAATAATGCCATGTTTAATGGTTATTAAACATGACTGCTACCAATTCTTAACAATACAGGTAAGGTTTCGTATGTGACATGGAAACTTCATTTTAATATTAAACTAAAAAAAGTTATCTCTATCACAGTTTTAAAAGATACTACACATTATACATATGATAAATTAAAACATATTTATAGAAAATGAAAGGTTTTGCTACACAGCCATTTAATTTAGCAATGGGAATGTCATAGATACTTATCATAAAACTAAATTCCACTCACTGTGTATTGATGATAACTAGTACAAACCAATCAAGCGTACCTTTGAATAGTCATCAGACAATGTTTCGAAGGTGACAACTGGAAAATAAAAAACAGTGGGGAAAAAACAATCAATTCTCAAGTTTTTAATAAAAAGGAAAACTTAATGCAAAGATTCTAATTCAACACAAAAATTATACACAATTGCTGGGTTTTCTTGTTTTTGCCCCTACGTAAAACAAGAGCAAAACTGCCATTTTAAGCTGCTCCCAAACACCAATGGAAAATTTAAAGCTTTATAATTCCCCAGTACTGAGCAATTAGATATCCTGCAGAACTGAAGGCAATGAAATATAAATTCACAAAACATAATGACTTCTCAATTTTCACCCTATTTTTCTGAGATGTTCAAAATAAAGTAGGTATTATAGAACATTCACAAATGTTGCTTAGGAAAGGATAACAGTAACTTTGTACTCATTCATAGTGCATCGGGTAAACAAAAATAGAGTGAAAACAGTTGCTATTAGCAGCACATGGAGTCTGTATTGTGTGAAACAAGTTAGGAGGATACAATCCCATCCTTTTCCCTGATGGACAGCCTGGATGTTCCCAGTTCACTGCCCTCTGTGCTAGCCAGGGTTCTAAGCATGACCCACCGACCTTCCCATCCACAGCCCCCTTTTCTGGGGTGAGTAGGACCTGTGAATGCGATGGGACACCACTCCTATGACTGTCACATGAATGGCGAAGGGAGATTTATAATCACATGAGCCCTTTAAAAGCAGCTTATTCCGCTGGCAGAGGGGGGAGCCAGTGAGCTGCTAGGTCTGCAGGCAGAGGGACCAGTGAGGAGGAAAGCCGGCACCTCTGGAGGCAGAGCACGGCCCGGGGAGGACGGACCCGGGGGGGGGGGACGGACGGTGGGAAACAGGACTCCAGTCCTACGACTGCAACAAACTGCATCCTGCCAGCTGGAAGCCTGGAGGCGGACTCCTTCCCGAGCCCCTAGACAGAGTCGCACCAGGCCGGCCCCTCGAGGCAGCCCGCGCACAGGACGCAGAGAGCCGGTGGATTCGCACAGACCCGGGAGCTCCGCAGTGGGCGTTCACGGCCATTTGTTACAACTGAGAAAACTAATGCACAACCCATTCCTGTTTCAACAGGCAGGAAAGATGCCAAACATCAAAAGCTAGTTTCATGAACTCAAGTTTAACCTTTTACTTACCTTCGGAATCTAAACACCTTTCAAACTTCAAGGATAACTGATAGGTGTCATAGCATCGAACCCGAGGTTTATACGTTCCTATCGAGAAATGAATGAGATGTAAACCCCACAGACACACTTCCCACTGTCAGCTCCCTGCAGATGTGCGAAGCACACCTGGTTCAGAGAATCAGGGTTCACTGTACCCACAGCAAAGGGAAAGAACTCAGACACAACCCTCCCCAACATCCCCAGGGAAAAGAGCAGGGATGTAAGCAAGCAACTCACAGGAAAAGTGAGACAAATAATTCACGCACCTCACAGACAAGCTAACAAAGCAGATGACAACAATGAAATCGCTTTTATCCATCAGAATGGCTAATATGGTGTTAAGAGCATCTTAGCTCTTTATTATATAAGCCATAAAACCGTCTATTCTAAATATAAAACCGGAGGCTAGGAAACGTAGTGTTACTACGGAAACGACCATTCCCAAAGAACCAAAGAGACTGGCATGCGGAGGCACAGAAGTTCTGTCAAATAACAAAGTGGCTGAAAGGGGACAAAGGTGGATAACGTTAAGCCAGTAAAATAATGTACACGGACAATACATAGGATATATGCACCAAAATCACAGCCAAAAATGGTTTGTTTTAAATTGTAACACATTAAATGTTCCCACAGTCATGGCTCTGATATCGATGAACACTGCTAATATAAAACCTTAGTGACATAAAAACATTCAGTATACGACACAGCAAATTATGTTGAAAGTGACCTTTCTAGGAACTCTCCTTTATTGTTGGTGGGAGTGTAACCTGATTTGACCATTTTGGTGAAAAGCCTGGCCCGTTTCTATCAAACTAAACACACACCTCCCCTGAGACCTGGCAATGTCCTCCAAACATACTAGCACAGAGCGCTTGTGAACAGCAGCCAAAACACAGGGCCTGGCCAGTTTCCACTGATGGAGAAGGAAAAGTAAAATGTCTCTGCCTACAAGGAAATGCCACTTGGTAATTTAAAAAGGACAACATACTGACATTCATAACAACACATAAATCTCAAATATGAAGCCCAGGTGCATGGCCGCATTATATAAAGTTCTAGAGCAGCCTAACCTTGTCTGCAGTGAAAAAGAAGGCAGAGCGGTGGGTGCCTATGCAGGGGTGGGGGCAGGGCCGACAAGGAACGTCAAGGAAGCTTCTGGGTGAAGGAATATTCTACACCTTCAGGGCGGCTTTGGCTACACAGGTGTTGCATTTGTCAAAACGCATCCTAGTCAAGATCTGTGCATGTCAACGTATGTAGATTTACGTTAAAAAGCCATCAGTAAATAGTGAACTGGGGTTAATGATATATACTCTGAGGCATGTAGGGGTGGAATATACTAATATCTGCAATTTGCTCTGAAATGCCCTAAAAACCAGGATGGGTGATGGGAGGACAGACAGACGTGTAATGAAGCAAATGCAGCAAACTACTGAAGAATCTAGCAGGGGGTAAATGGAGGCTCACTGTACAACTCTTTCAATATTTCAAATCTTTTTTATAATGAAGTGATAGGGAAATTTAAAAAGTGACCTATGTCATCATATTTCCTGAGATAAAATGTACATAAATCATAACCAAAAAGATGCTCACCAGTTGCTAAAATATATTGTCCATCTTTTGAAACCTTAATAGTGGTACAAACAGTAGGCATTTCAAAATCCTGAATAAGTTCAATTCTCCTCCGGACATCTACAAAGAGAGAACAGGAGCAGCCGGTCTGTTATAACCCATGAGACAGTAAAAGGCTAACGATTAGCTTTTATTTATTTATTTTTTTATACTGTACAGCCCCCTTCAGTGCTCACAGCCCAAAGGAAGGAGGCCGGGCAATGGTTTGAGGCTGCAGCTTCCTCTGGCATGGGTCCACTGGGAGAGGCCCGCAGGGAAGGGCCCCCATAAACCAAGACCATGCACTTACTAGCTTTTAATTAGGTAAAACCAAATCCCACACTCACCAGGAACACATCAACCACCAGAGATTTCTTAAGAAGAAGGAAGTGTGCTTTCCTGCAGTGAGTGAGTGCAGGTGAGTGTGGCAGCAATAAATGAGTGCCAGGTTTCTCACGTGGACCACCGGGATTCATTTCCTCCTCACAGGAAGCCATGCCCAACAAGGAGGCAGCTGATAGGATACCGGTAATTGGTCTCACCCAGCCTGAGCGAACAAGCTAGAGGCAAAGGCAAGGAGACTGAGATTTCCTTCCACAACAGAGCCGGGACCCTAAAGGGCCAGGAGGCTGGCTGCAGAGGGAAAGCAGTACTCACCCACATCTTTCTTCTGCAGTGCTCTCTTCTTCCTGTCAGAAAGCCACTAGAGAAAACAGAGTCTTTATTTAAAAACATATTTACTTGAATTGTTTTTCTGCTGGCAAAAATAACACATGCTCACATTTAAAAAAAATGTGAAACCTTACATGAATACATAACACAGAAAGTAAAAATATCCTGTAATACTAACCCTACTGTTAACATATCCTCTGGATTTTTTTCTTAAACATATTTACATATATTAGACAATAAAATTTTAGAACTAACTGTATCATATTTTAAACAAGGGAAAACTAATTCATCTAATCAATCTAAGAGAAACAGTAAGCTTCAAATATTATGGGTTATAACTAATATATGGAACTCGGTCTATTTAAATGAAATTTTAAAAAACAAGCCATTAAGCCCTAGCCAATTTGGCTCAGTGGATAAAGTGTTGGCCTGGGGACTGAAAGGTCCCAGGTTCGATTCCTGTCAAGGGCAGATGCCCAGGTTGTGGGCTCAATCCCCAGTAAGGGGTGCGTAGGAAGCAGCCGATCAATGATTCTCTCTCATCATTGATGTTTCTATCTCTCTCCTTCCTCGATACCTTTGGCTCATTAGCTCCCCCTCCAAAACCCCAGAGTTCTCTCCTGATTCTTCCTTTCCTTCGCCTGACGCCTCCTCGCCACCAGCCAACCCATCAGCAAGTCCCATGAGCCTACCGCCCGCGTCCCACCCAGTCCTAGTGTCTCCTTTGCTACCATTCTAGCCCAAGCCACCCACATCTCTCGGCTGGACACCCGCACGTGACCAACAGGCACACTTCTCGCCTGCCCTGCCCCATCCCCACTCGTGCCCTCCCGGCCATGGTAACTCGCACACAGCAGCCCCGTTTAAACCCAACGGCGACTTCCAACAGCACGAAGAAACCTAACCTGTTCCCTGGGCGAGGAGGCCACCTCTCCACCGTCACCTGCGCCATTCTCTCGTCCTGAGCGCGCCAGGCACACGGTGCCTCTTCTGGCCTCCCACAAGCCAAGCGCATGCCCACTGTGGGCATTTCCACCTCCGTTCTCTGGGCGCTGACAACTCTCCCTTTCACCACCCCTGTTTCTGCGCGAATGCCACCCGGGGAGAGAGGGCCTCCCTGAAGGCCATCCAAACGCTGGCCTCCACAGCCCTCCTCCGCGCACAGCACCGCCCGGGGAGCTTCTGCTTGCTCACGCGGCCCTCCCCTGCAGGAACCGCAGGGCGGCCCCTGTCCCCCAGGCTCCGCTTCTCAGCAAACGTGGGGGTGAGCGAGGTGAGCGCGGCCACGGTGAAGAACGGCGGAGACAGGAGGCCTGTGACTGGATTCCGAGAAGGAAGGCGGCGCTAATGGCCGGCTCCAGGCCTTTTGGGGGACCCGGAGGAAGAGCTGTACTGACTGCTTCCCCAGGGCAGGGCCCGGGCCAACAGCAAGCGGCGAGCTACACAGATCGGCGGTGCCAGCCTTTCGGACCTCACAGGCCACCAGTGGCTGCGGACCACCCGCTGGCGATCGCCGATCTAGATTTTTTTTATTGATTTCAGAGAGGCAGGGAGGGAGAAAGAGAAAGAGAGAAACATCCATGGTGAGAGAGAATAATGGGTGGGCTGCCTCCTGTCCGCTCCTACTTTGGGGATTGAGCCCGTCACCCGGGGCCTGTGCCCTGACCCGGAACAGAACCGTGACCTCCTGGTTCAGAGGTCGGCGCTCCACCACGGAGCCACGCCAGAGGGGCTAAGGCAGGGGTTTTAAAACCAATCTCAAAGTAATGTGCAGGTGTGAATGCTTCTGCAAAACGTCTCCTCTCACTGGAGGTGCCGGACACAAACCCCACCATCGCTGACAAGGAAGAAACGCCGAACTTCAGAGCCTCCTCGCTGGATCTGCCGCGCATCTCACCCAGGAGTTGGGAGAGAAGCTCTGATTTTCCCAGCCCCTCGCCACTCGCCGCCCTGAGACGCCAGGACATCATTGCTCCCGGCAAGTCCCAAAAGCCCAGCCCTAGCTCCTTCGTTGTGAATTCCAAGTGTTAACGTTTTCACATTATTGCCAGCACTTTAAAGAACAGTTGTGGCCTTTTCATGACTATCCTGCCTGTCCCGGCGCTTTGAAGGCAAATTCTCAATATTTCAACATTCAGTGGGGATGGGAAAGTTCGCAAACGAACGCCACGTGTTGTAGAACACACACACACACACATTTTCCTGTGCATCAACCTGTGAACCAGGAGGGCGGGCACATGTCCGGGGGGCGGGCTCGATCCTGTGGGGGCGGGGGGGGTGCGGGCAGGAGGCAGCCCATCAAGGATTCTCTCTCATCACGGATTCTTCTCTCCCTCCCCGCTTTCTCCCTAAAATCAATAGGGAATATATCTGAACGGGCGTTCAAATGAGGGAGAGCTCCCTGTCAGCCAACCCGTCACTCTCCTCCTCGGTGACAGCGGCTGGGAACGGCCACAGCGGCGCCGAGGGACGCGTCCTCCGTCCCGGAGACCCTGACAAACGCGCCCGTGGAGCTCCCTGACCGGCCGCCCTCAGTCCCGTCCCCCGGCGCCGGCAGCTCCCCGGCCCCGACAGGCCGGGGGCGGCGCCCCGAGGACACTCACCTCGGGGAGGGACTTGCCGCAGCTCAGGCTGTAGATCTTCACCTCGTTGAGGCTGGAGACCTGCATGGCGGCACGAGAGCCCCGTGGGCGCCGCTGTCCCCGCGGCGCACGCGAGCCTCGCCTCCCGAGGCTTCCGCCGCGGCGCGCGCGCGCGGTGATGACGCACTTCCGGCGCCGGAAGCGCCGTTCCCGGAAGCGGGGAAGCGGCAGGGCGCCGGCGGGGTGGCGGGGCTGCCTGCGGCCCTGGGCGGGGAGGGCCGGAGCCGCTCTCCGTCCCCGCGGCGTCCTGGGGGCTGGGAGCCCTCGGGGCCGCGGTCCCGGGCGGGGAGGCGGGCGGCGCGGCGGGCCCCAGGCCTGGCGGGCGCGGCGGGGGAAATTCGGAATGGGAGGGTGTTTTGCAGCGTGTCTGTGTGTGCAGCGTTACGTTACCAATAAACGCTCCTTCAAATCGTGTGTTAAACGTGTTATTTTGGGCCCGGCCCGTGGGTTGAACGGCGGCCCAGGAGCCAGGAGGTCAGCGGTCGATCCCCGGTCAGGGCACAGGCCCGGGTGGCGGGCTTCCTCCCCAGGAGGGGCGAGCAGGAGGCAGCCCGTCAAAGAGCCTTCCTCATCGTGGGTGTTTCTATCTGCCCTTCTGTCTTCTTTGCTCAGGAAGGAAGGAAAGAGGGAGGAAATAAATGTAATTTTAAAAAATGTATTATTTGGTCTGGATTTGTTTGACACTCGTCCACTAAGGAAGGAAATTTAAAAGTAAACTAGTAAAAGAAGGGGTGAGGAATCGTGGATTTAAAGCTGATGGCCTTGCAGACGGGCGTGTGGCCATAACGACAGACACAGCCCCTTCCACGCCCTTGGTTTTAGGAAAGTTCACACATTTGGTTGATCTTCCGTTGGTAGAGAACCGCGTTGGTTGTTGCTTAGGGCTTGAGAATCTGGGCTTCGTGAAAGCTGGAGGGGAAAGTCAAAAGGGTCCTTTTGAAATTGGAACATAATACTTCCCTTAACATAGTGGTTCTCAACCTTCCTAACGCCGAGGACTTTAATCCAGCTCCTCATGCTGTGGTGACCCCCAACCATACAATTATCTTCGTTGCTACATCATCACTGTAATTCTGCTGCTGTTATGAATCGTAATGTGAATATCTGTGTTTTCCGATGGTCTTGGGTGACCCCGCTAGTGGTTCTCACCGGTGGGTCTGACATTAGACAGGCTGAGAACCGCTGCCGTGGAGCCTCAGGCCGTCGGAAAACACAGATATTTACATTACGATTCATAACAGTAGCAGAATTACAGTGATGATGTAGCAATGAAAATAATTCTATGGTTGCAGTCACCACAGCATGAGGAGCTGGATTTAAGGGTCGTGGCGTTAGGAAGGTTGAGAACCGCCTAGGGACTAAAAGGTCCCAGGTTCGATTCCGGTCAAGGGCATGTACCTTGGTTGAGGGCACATCCCCAGTGGAGGGTGTGCAGGAGGCAGCTGGTCGATGAATCTCTCTCATCGATGATTCTAACTCTCTATCCCTCTCCCTTCCTCTCTAAAAAATCAATAAAATATATTTTTTAAAAAGAAAAGAAATCTCAACTAACTTTATGCACAATAACATTCCTTATGTTGTTTTCAAGGATGAATTGTAAATGCCTACCAACTGCAAAATAATATCTGTCACTTATTGTTATGTATTAGATGTAAGATATATAAATAGATCCTGCTCCTAACTTTAATAATTAAGGGTCCCAGACCATTTCACACTATTTTATTCAAATCTATTTCCCGCTGACCCCTAGGTTTGCCTTCTGTCTTGCTAGCCTTCGTGGCAGCATTCTGATTCTGAGTCTCTCCTTGTGCTAATTTGGGCTCTGCAGCACCTTCCCCTTCCCCTTCCCCTTATCCAGATCCTGCCCGCTCTTCAGAACTCGCCTGTCTGCTCCTCCTCCTGTGCTTTCACTGCCGCATAAATACCTTGTATGGCAATTATGTCTTTTTTGTTAGATTTTTATTATCGAAATGTAAGGAGCACATCCTACAAGCACAGTGATACTGAACCTGGCTGTGATGCCCTCCCCAATATCTGTGTTCGGACCCCAGTTCTCTTGGGCACCCTGGTTTCCTTAAAGTCACCGCAGCCTCCCACGGCTAATGACAATGTCCTTGTTACAGGGCCCACAAATCTCCGTTCTTTCTTAAACAGGATGGATCCTTTGGACAACATTCTTCACTTCCCCCTCTTGATTCTTACTATGGGAACACTTTGTAACATAATTAAAAGTTTAATGTCTTCAACTCAGATGTATCACATAATTTGACGATCCACACATGACCCCTCCTTCGGGTTTCAGCTACACCCTCCCCACTTCCTCATTCTTGGGTTATTTTGAATGACATTGAAACAAACCTTTGGCCGCCATCTTTGTGGGTTGTAACGTGCTTTTCTGGCCACCCCGTCCATCTAGACTCGGCGACAGGACTGTTCGCTCATTGGCGGTTTCCCTGGGGCCGACCCAGTGCCCGGCGTGGGGCGCACTTCCGGTAAATAGTTCTTGTAAAAATGAATCCGTTCGCTGACCGCTCCTCATTCGAAGTCCCAGTTCTTTTTTTTTTTTTTTTTTGCTTGTCAAAATGATCTTTATTTGAGTTCTTTTCCTTTGTAGTTCTTAACAAGCCGGACATTCCACGGCACCACTGTTGATATCATCTATGATGTCATGAGGGTGGCGGCCATCAACATTGCACCCCACAGACTGGGCAGTCCCCAGGATCTCTTTAATGGTTCCAGAGAGTTCTCTAGCTAAAGATCGGTGCCGCATCTGTCGGGCAATGCTGACAATCTCATCGAATGTGATATTTCCACTGTGCTTAATGTTTTTTTGCTTCTTCCTGTCTCTTGGAGGTTCTTTGAGGGCTTTGATGATCAGGGCAGAGGCAGAAGGCACCACTTCAATCTGGGCCTGTCTGTTCTGAATGGTCAGTTTCACTGTAATCCTCAGACCCTTCCAATCACCAGTTGCTTTGGCGATGTCATCACCAACCTTTTTCGGGGACAGGCCCAGGGGGCCGATCTTGGGGGCCAGGGCAGACGTGGCACCCACTTCCCCACCGGTGCACCTCAGGTATACGACTTTGATCTCGTTGGGGTCGAACTTCGGCGGCATGGTGGAGGCAGCTGGTGTCGGATGAACCCGGATTCGGGACGACCGAGGAAAGTTGCACCTGAGCCTCCTCCGAGCCGAAAGCCGAAAAAAGCTGAAGTCCCAGTTCTTTTCCTACACACTTTGGCCTCTGGTCATGAAAACGGTGTTTCTGTGCCAGACGCTTGTTTTCTCAGACAGGTCCATGTACACATCGTGTCTCTCCAACAAGAAATGCCATCGCTGGCCCTGGCCGGTGTGGCTCAGTGTATAGAGCAATGGCTCGAGGACTGAAGGGTCCTGGGTTTCATTCCAGTCAAGGGCACGTGCCTCGGTTGCAGGCTGGATTCCCAACCGTGGTCAGGGCATGCGGAAGGCAACCAACCAGTGTCTCTCTCACATTGATGTTTCTCACTCTGTGCTCTCCACCTCCCTTCCACTCTAAAAATCAATGGGCAAATATCCTCAGGCGAGGCTTCACCAAAAATCTAGGACAAATGTCATCCTCAGAGCCAGGAACCGCACATGAGGGATCACAATGTTCTCTGGGGAGGGGATCAATCGGGAGAAAGGAGACATATATAATACTTGAAACAAACAAACAAACAAAATCCATAATCAGAGAAAGAAAAGTTACGCTGCAGGTTCTATTTAACCTTAAATGTGCCATTATTAGTGCCATTCCAGAAGCCCCTTCCCCCTCCCCCTCTCCCCATTCCCCTCTCCCCTCAACCCTTACATCCTCCTCCTCTTTGCCCTTTCCCTCTTCTATGGATGCATCCCACACCCACCAGGTGGTTACTTGCAAACACAGTCACAGGCTCCGGCCACCCTAAAAGGAAAGGGAATTCTAGGGGGCTGTGGCGAGGCTCCCAGAATCCTCAGGAAGGCCAGGACGCCAGCTCAGAGACCGAAGAGGGGTGAGGAGGCTGGGCCCTGCCTGCATCCCCCCGGAAAACCCGTTGAACCCGGCTCCATCGATCACCGCCCCGAACACTGGACATTCCCGCAGCCACCGCCCCAGGGTCCCAGCTCCCCTCCCTGCTGCAGCCAGCTCCCCCCTCAGCCCTCAGACACCCGTAAACTACGGCGTCGGAATAGGACCACTCCCCTGCTCGGTGCCCAGTGTGCACACCTTCCAGCCCACACTCCCTCCTGCCCGGGCGAGAGCGCCCAGCCGCTGCAGCCTGCTCGGCCCTGGCCCGGAGCGCAGTGCGGGGCGCAGCCACGGTGCTCTCTGTTCTGGCCTCGGGCCTCTGCACATGCTGTTCTTTCTGCCTGGCAGGCTCTGCCTTCAGCGTTCCCGTGGCGGCTACTCTGTGCCTGCCCGAGCTCAGTGCAAACATCCCTCCGTCCGAGTGCCGGCTCTGACCCTCAGCAGCTGCCCTCCTCCCAGCACCTCCTCACATCAGCCAAACACCAACTGGGCCTGGTGCTGGGCCTCATGCAACCACAGCCCGGAGCGCGCGTGTCCTGGCCACAGCGGGCCCGCCCAGGCCGTTTGTTGACTGTTTTTCAGAACCGAGGCGCTCGGCTATAATGCCAGCGGATGTCCTACCTCCCAAGGGCAGTTAGGCGATCGGGGGAAAACAGAAAACAAAGCCTGACCCTGGAGGAAAGCACCTCGCTTCACGGATGACTGGCTGGGCCCTCCAGGCTCTAGGGCTGCCCGCTCCGCAGACACAGAGACAGCAGCGAGGGAGGGACACGCAGAGGACACGCAGTGGACACACAGCCCCCCGGCCCCGTGTCAGAAAGGACTCACATTTGGGTTAACATCCTGCTGTCGCCATCTGGAAGTTGTTGTTGTTTTAAATATATTTGTATTAATGTCAGAGAGGAAGGGAGAAGGAGAGGGAATCATAGATGGGCTGCTTCCTGCACGCCCCACACTGGGGATTGAGTCCCCACCCAGGCATGTGCCCTGACCAGGAAT